GGGAACTCGCGGCTACCCAATCCAAAAACCAAAACACAATTCAAGGTAAACCCAAGCCTAAATCAAGAGAAAAAGGAAGATTCAGGGCTGTTCTTACCAGAAAAGCCCAAGAATCGCACCCAACAGAAACGACTCGCGGACAGGGGAAGAAGACCAGAGCAGAACCGGGATTTTCTGGGTTGAGAGGGAAGATTCTAAGCCCCAAATCTTGTGAATTAACAAGAAAAGAAGAGGAAAATTCAAGCCTTTTGCCGAATTTCTCAAGAGGAGTGCGTCGGTGGCTGGGGGGGGGGCTTGTCGGGTGCAAGGGAGAAGAAAGAAGAGCAGATGCGCGGATAAGGAAGAAGAAAAAGAAAGAACAACTCAGCCATCCTTATCCTAATTTCCTTTCTTTTTAAGTCCCTCAAGTTTGGACATTTTGATCATTAAGCCTCAAAACACTATTTTCTCACACAAAGGTCCTTAACTTAATGCTAAAATACCCCAAAATTTTGGGATATTACACAACTTCTCTTTTATGCAAAGCTCACAGTATAGGGATCAAAAAGCTGGTAAATTCTGAAGTTTGGTTTTTGATTTTCTTGGTGGTTGCATGGTCTATATGGTACATAAGGAACTCTATTATACACAATTCACAACAATGGGATGAGGATAAAACGTTTGACTTAATCCAAAGGAGAACATTTGCTTGGATAAGGGGAAAATCTACTAACACTATGTTTCCTTTTTTCTATTGGTGCAATTCCCCTAGTACATGTGTCCAAGAAACTCTCAAGAGATAGATATAACATTGCAGATCTCAGGCATCATTATAGTTTTTGGAACGATTCCATAGCTTGAGGATGTTTTCTTTGTCTCCGAATGTATTTTTGTATTTGTTATGACTTTTTGATGTTACGGGTTGAGTACCCCTTGTACTCCTACTTATAATAAAATTTGATTCATCTAAAAAAAACATGAACCCTCTTCAGTCTTCATCAAGGTTTGAAACAAGCATTACACCGTAAAGCAAGTCTTTGGCACCATTTAAATCATCTAAAGATTAAAACATACCCTTCAGACTTCAAGGACTAAACACTACCATACGGTTATTTGGGAAAAACAAATGTCAAAACAAAAGAGAATGAAATTCAATACCCATCAAGCACATGCATTTGGCCCTGTTAACATCAAACAGTATCACTAGAGTTTAGGCTCAAAGCAGGAATTCACAAACAATTGAGCTAGTTTTAAAAGCCAAAAATAACTAAAACAGACATCTTTTTGCAGAACTAGATTCTTCTAAAGTGCACATTAATTTAGCTAAAGCATATGTATATAAAACAAATCCCAATAAGAACAACTACCATCCAGAACCAAATCCAAACTTCTGAATACAAATTTAAAGGCTACTGGTTATGATCAAGTAGAGTTTAGTCTGAAACTCATTAATGCATAAAGTAAAAGAACCCAATCAATTGAAGAGTAGCTCTTACTTGAGCAAGATAGAATAAAATTTGCATTGGAAAATTAGAATCAAAACATTTCTAGCATTGAATAACTGCGAACAACATAATATAAGTAAATGCAGTTGAACATTAAAAGGGCTAAAAAATGATACAAAACCACCATAAGAAGAACATTCTTCTTTCTGATACTTCAACGGTAAGACTTCTGGAACCTAGCTCTGGCGCCACCACCACCGAACTTCTTGGGCTCGCATCGCCTGGGATCAGCGACGAGCAGAGTCCTATCGTACCTCACCAAGATGTCTTTAATCTCCTTCTTCTGCTGCTCATCCACAAACTTTTGCTAGTAGG